GAAGTGACTGGCTTACAAGGTTTCAAGAGGGAGCTTAGTTTAAGAGAGTGGGGAGAAAGAAAGAGTCCCCACTGAATAGCTATTACCTTGTCTAGATGGGTCTGGTGAAAGGAGATGGGGATAAGATTAGTAAGACTCAATAGTGAATAACTGTTATCATGACTAATCACGAGGTCACATTTTTATTTTTTTTTTTAAGAAGAGAAATCGATTAAAAAAAATTTTTTTTTCTTAAAAAAAAAAAAAGTAAACGGGACCAAGTCTCTTATAAAAAATAAAAAAAATGAATATGGAGTGTACCCGACAACTTTAGAAATTATTTTTTTCAATTTTCCAATTCAAAATTTTTGGTCCTAGATTCATTTAGTTCTAGAATGACTTAGAGAACTTTATGATACATTTCTGATCTTTTCAAGTCAACTTCATCATCTCATTTTTGTATTATGAAAATTGATCGAAGCTTTAAATGTACTGTAGTAGTCACAAACTCTTGAGTCCTGGTGTAGCACTGTGGGGTAATGCACAGGAATGCAAAGTCAGTTTGAACCACAAAGATCAGTGGTTCAAGCTCACCATCTGTTCCTTGGAAACTCTATACAGGGTTGCTATGAGTCAGAAGTGATTCAATGGTACTTAACAAAAACAGTCACAAATTCGGTAGAAGTCATTATACTCTCAGCTTGAATCATTGCTTCACTGTGGTATGTATAATGCAATTAAAGAGACAAAAGTTATGATGGATTCACTTATGGTCCCACAAAAGGTGTTGCAAATCCTAAACTCTATGCCTGGTGTGGCGCTGTAGGAGAAGCACTGTACCATAAGGTCAGTTTGAACTGCAAGGTCGAGGTTCAACAACATATTTCTGTGGTTATAATCCCATTTGGGAATAGGCTGTCTTTGTTATGTGAATGAGGTAAAATTAATTTAGTGTAAGGATGTACACTTACACTAAATTATCTCTTTTGAGATATGAAAGTGATTCAACAAGCAAGTGAGCTGACCAGATGGAAAAAGAGAGATGCCAACCCACATAAAGACTGCCCAGGAGCAGAAATTAAAGAGACAAAGATCTTCCTCCAGAGCCAATATAGAGAAAGCAATCTCCTAGAGCTGGCATCCTAGATTTGGACATCTAGCCTCCTAAACTGTGAGAATATCAATTTGTTTAAGCCATTCACTTGTGTTACCTCTGATATGGTAACATTGATAACTAAGACAGAATTTGGTAACCGAAGTGGAAAGCTACTCTAACAGATACCTACAAATTGGAAGTGGTTTTAGAATTGGGTAATGGGTAGAGACTATAAGAGTTTTAAAATGCTTTGAAGAGACTATTGGTAGAATTATGGATGTCAAGGGCAACTGTGGTGAGGGTTCAGAAGAAACTGAGGAGAGCTTTTAAAAAAGAAGTCTCTACTGTCTTACAGAATACATAGGGCACCTGTAACAGAATGCCGTGTTCCTGGGGAGGCTTTAATAAGAAAATAATGAACACGTGACTGGACAGTGGAAAAGGTTTATGCTTTTTATGCAATTGCAAAGAACTTGTCTGAATTATGTTCAGATATTTGATGAAAAGTATTAACTTCAAAAAGTGACGAACTTAGATATCTAAGCAAGATCTTAAAATAGCTGGTGGTTTCTCCTTACTGCCTATATTAAAATGTGAGAGGGAAAAAGAGAGACTTAAAAATGGAGTGTGTCATATGAAAAACTAAGCTACAAAGACTACAGACATATTCACGAATGATATGGCGACACAATCTTTTGTTAAAGAGAATAAGCCTGTGACTGGTGGATCTAACTATCACTGCAGTTTTGACTGAAAGTGGCAGAAACAGAAGAAAAAGGAAAGAATGGTGTCTGTCTTTTGGCATTCTAAAGGCAGGAAAGAGTCCAAAGGAGCTGCATCTGTTGTTCTTCAAGAAGAGGACCATCCTAGGAATAGCTCCAAGATCAACAGAACTGCAGAAAAGAACAGGGGAACAAGGGCCTTCTAGGGTTTCAATGGTGGGACCACAGCATGCTGGGTCTCAAAGGATTGAGTCACAGCCTTCTAGGCTTCAAAGAGCTGGATCTTTGCAAACTTGGTCTGGAGGTAGGCCAGGGGCATTGGACAGCTGTCCAAAGCTGTGGGGCCAGAGCTGTCATGCTCAGTAGGAAAGAATATGACCTACCGGGCTGAACAGGTGGGTCCCTACTCAGAAGGCCTAGAATGGAGCTGTCCAAAGCTGAGGAAGCAGGGTTCTTGTCGCAGTGGGTCTGGAGGGAGGAGCTGAAGCCTAGGGCCGAGGGGCTTCCTTTTAGAATCTAGAAGTGGTGACCAACACCTAGCACTCGTAAGGTAGCCTCAGAGAACAGAAGATTCTTTTTACATCTCGAGAGCTAATTTAAATTTTTCTGCTGGCTTTTGAACTTTCTTAGTGCCTGTTGTCCCTTCTTTCCCTCCAATTTTTCCCCATTTGTAATGAAAATGTTTACCTAATGCCTATTCCATGTGGCATCACACTTTGGAAACAAATAACTTGTAATCTAGATTTTCACAGTTCACAGATAAAGATAAATAAATTATATTTGATTTAGATGACTCGGAAGATGACATTTTGGACTTGGTGTTCATTTAAGAATTTGGGATGATGTGATGGGGTAAGTTTTACATATGGCAAAGATACAACTTTGGGTTCAAAGGGTGGAATGCTATGGACTGAATAGTGTTCACAAAAAAACATTTGTTGCAAATCTTAACCTCTATCGCAGAGTCATGCTGTGGCACTGTGGGATAAAGCACTGGACTGAAAGGTTGGTTTGAACCACAAAGCTGGTAGTTCAAACTCACATTCCACTCCTTGGAACCCCTAAACAGGGTCACTAAGAGTCGGAACCAACTTGAAGGCACTTAACAACAGTAACAATATGCCTGTGGTTATAATCCCATTTGGGAATGGGTTGCCTTTGTTACGTGACTGAAGCAGGATTATGAAGGATGTACCTTGATTCAATCTCTATAATGACAGAGAAGAGGTTAAGCAAGTAAGCAGAGTGGACTGTGGTAGAAAGGTGCCAATGCACATGAAGACTGCCCTGGAACAGAACTTCTGAGACAAGGACCTTCCCCCAGAGTCAATGGAGAGAGAAGCCTTCTCCTAGAGCCAGAACCCTAAACTTGGGCTTCTAGCCAAGTTTAGAAGTTTAAGAAAATAAATTTGATTGTTGAAGCCATTCAATTGTGGTATTTCTGTTATAGCAGCACTAGGTAAGTAAGACAAGAGATTGTGGTTGTTGCTGAGTGCAATCAAGTCAGTTCTGACTCACAGCAACCCTTTATAGGTTTCTAAGGAGCAGCTGTTGGGTTTGAACTGCTGACCTTGTGGTTTGCAGACCAGTGCTGATCCTACAGTGACACACCAGGGTTTCAAGACAAGACAAGTAGCACAAACTAAGAGGAGCTAATACATCAAATAAGAAGCTCTGATAGCATAGTGGTTTAGTTGGGCTGCTAATCTTGTGGTCGGCAGTTTGAAACTACCAGCGGTTCTGCGGGAAAAAGATGAGGCTTTCTGCTCCCGTAAAGAGTTACGGCCTCAGAAACCCTACACGGGGTTGCTTTAAGTCGGAACCAACTCCACGGCACATAACTACCACCACCACCAATACATCAAATACTCAATTAGTCATGGAAACAATTAGATATTGAGAGAAATGTGCTTGTCATTTTGACTGATGAACTACTCTGCTGCCTACAGAACATTTTTCAAACATCTAGAAAGTTATCAAATGATACATGGAAGCAATTTGCATAAGATTAGATTTACATAAACCAAATGCTGAGAGGTACCTGCTATTAATTCAAACAATTGTTAACTTATTCTATATATATAAAAAAAGCACCAAAATGTACAGATAAAGAAAGGTTGTTAATTACCCATCCATTTCAGCAAGTAGTTGATTTATAGTCTGTCTCGAATATGGATGCATTGGAGATTCAATTCTCTTCCCACCAACAGAATCTAATTCATCAATAAATATAACACAAGGAGCATTTGCTTTTGCTTCCCCTAAGAAAATAGAAAAGATTCAACTCAAAAAAATGTAGGTGAATATCAAAAGTCAACAAAAAAAATACATCAAAAAGAAAACATACAAAAGAGGTTACTTTCATTATTAATTGATTTAAGAGCATACTGAGACCAAACAAAAGCAAACAAACCCCAGAGAGAATCATATAAAATAAAAACAATTCTTAGCTGTGCAAGTTCCATTACAGTAAGGTTTGAAGCTAACTATGCCTTAGATACACACGTCAGTTCTGACTCATAGAGACTCTGTACAGGGTTTCCAAGGCTGTAAATCTTTACGGGAGTAGACAGTCTCATCTTTCTCCTACAGAACCGGAGGCAGTTTCAAATTGCTAACCTTGAGATTAGCAGCCTGACTCGTAACCAAAAGGCTACCAGAGCTCCCTGTAGTTACATGCTATAGAACTGATAAGCAAAGTAAAAAACACAAAGAGCTGTTCAGCAGTCCCCAACCTCACATACCGTGCCCCCGGCCTTTTGAGAAACAATATAGGTCTATTTTTGTAGAAGCAGTACAGGTCTATTTTAGTGTACATATTCACTTAAAACAAAAATCCCATAATGACTCGTTTAAGTAACTATAAATCATACGTAATTAAGAAAGAAAAGAACCTCTTCCTTTAAAAATTAACAAAATTTAGCATTTTTAAAAAGTTTATTAAAACATACTAAAAAGGTTTCGAATACGGCTGGCTCCAACACCCACAAACATCTCATCAAATTCTGATCCAGAAGCATAATAGAAAGGAACATCAGCTTCGCCAGCCACAGCTCGGGCAAGAAGTGTTTTTCCTGTCCCTGGTGGTCCAACTAAAAGTATTCCTAAAATAAAAGTAACAAGAGCGTGTCAATTAAAAAACCCACAAACTTCTCACATCAACCTATAAAACAAATAAGTATTAACTTATAGTATTTCAACATAAAAGCACATCAACAGAGAACAAACAAGATGGCGGATCGGGTGCACGAGTACTAAAGAGCTCTGCCAACAACAACACAGAATACCTGACCAAGCAGGCTCAGGGGCTGTTCCCAGAACTCTGAACCACATATAAAGGAATATTTAGAAGGTTGGAAAGCTCACAGCTGGGGGAATCTGTGGCAAAAGCAAGAAATCTATTGCTTTCTAGTCCGGCACGCTAGGCTGCTCCAGGAGCCTCCATCTTGGGTAAGACCGAGAGGGGGAAGGATCGGAGCAGCCACAGACGCCTGGAAGAACTGGTGAGATAACGGTTTGGACATTCTTTTCTTTTGGTATTTGTTCATGGGTCCCTTGCTGTCTGCGCACCTCCATTCTGGTGACTATAGGGGTGCCTAACCTAGTGGGCACCCCAGCCCCACCCTCGGAGGATTCTACTACGCATACGCACAGATCTCCTCGAAATTTAAAGAGACAGTTTCCAATTAAAACCAAACGGCCAAAGCCTGCCCTGAACTGTTTCCAACTAGAAAAAAGGACTGAATGGAGATTGTGGAGCGGGACAGGCAGACAAAAGAGGAAACAGGCCGAAAATTAAATCCTAAGTTACGTCAAAACGACCAACAGTGGTATCTTGACATTTCTCAGGAGGAAGAGGGAAAAGGGAAGCCCATTTCCTGATCACATCTACCTGGAGGCATTCAGAAAGCATAAAAAAATACCAAAATACATACCCATCTAAGTAATAAGTCCACATAACCCCTGAACATGCCCTAAAAACAGAAGCAGATGATCATATCTGCACATGCCCAGAAACGAGATAAAGTGACTGAGGCAAATGAGCTGGAAGTAGACCTACACTCCATACTGGAACATGGGCAGGTTTTGGAAATGCCTGAGAAGGAATTCCTAAAAATGATTATAAAAGGTATCAAAACACTATACAATGCAGTTGAGAAAAATAATGAAGTCAGGAAAGTGCTACAGGAACAATCAAATAAGATAGATAGAGCATTAGAAACAATTCAAAACCTACAGAAAGAGG